GTTAGGTCACACTCTAATTCTATCGATGTGTCGGTAAACTAATAGTTAGTGTGTGAATACAATAGTGACAAATAGGTAAATACACACTTATCAAATGACTCTTAAGAGGAAAAAGGTGACATGATTATGTGTGAAGTGAAGATTACATGTGTAAAGTTGAATTGGTTGGTTTACATTTGATTAGGCTTTGTTTCACTTATGGAAATTTGGGTGGTTCTTCGTTAAGTATATTTGACATATTCTATTATTTGAGAATTAGTTTCATCTCAGCAAAATAGTTTTTAAGCATGCATATTGCATAGAATGGCTGCCGAAAGAAGTGGTGCATTGAGTGAACGTGCCATCGAAAATTCAAACTTGGTTTTGAATCTTTTACCACTTTTCATTTTTTTATAATTCTTTGTTGCTTATACCAAAATGTTTTCATTTTACAAAACAAAATCTTTTTGAATGTCATAGAATCATAGTTCTATGACTTCTGACCAATCATATTCTATGACGTAACAAACGAACCTTGCATTTTCCACAATAATAATTAACTAAATATAGTTGTGAAATTTAAATGTATATTTTGCGTATGATTATTGAGGGAGAGACAACGAAAACAACAGGTGATATTTAAGTTTTTGGTGCACATTACATTGTGCTCTGTAATTTTAGTCATACGCGGTTATGATGTGTTTACTAATTAAAATCTGACCTTAATTAGTCGTTAATTTATGAATTAATTATTCCATAAAAAATTACTATTCTAAAAAATTATTAAATTCAAACTGTTTTTATATAAAGGTAAAAATCATAAAAATAAAATTTTCGTATTGTTTTATAAGTTGTCATGTCAATATCATTAATCATTTACGTTACATCGACATGATGACTTGATTATCACTTGGACTAATGTCATTCACCAATATGACTATCTTTGAAAGTGAGAAAAGCATAAGAAAGGGAGGTTGAATAGTGTTGGTTTTTCTCCTTTAAGTTTTTTCTTCTTCTGCTTCTTATTGATCTCAATCAGATTCTTGAACACTTAGTTTAGAGTCTGAATCGAAATCACTAGGTTTGTTTTTAAAAATCCTTATCGAATTCTAAATCAGAATCTAACTCAGAGTTGCATAGTTGACAGCATTGAAATAATAAGATCGAGAAATAGGAAAGTAAAAGCAAAGACACACAACAATTATCCTGATTCCTCTCACAACTTGAGAGTAGTCCAGTCCCCTTGTATTTTCAAGAGATTTTCACTATAACTAATAAGATTACAAATGCTCAAGCACCAAACAAGAGAATTCGAATGTTTAAACCCTCAAGTAAGAGAGTTCTATGCTCAAGCACACAAGCAAGAGACTTCAAATGGTCAAAGTCTCAAGTAAGAGAATTTTATTCTCAAACACACAAGCACGAGACTTCAAATGCTCAAACTCTCAAGTAAGAGACATATATGCTCAAACACACAAGCAAGAGATTTCAAATGCTCAAATCCTCAAGTAAGACTTCTATGCTCAAGCACACAAGTAAGAGATTTCAAATGATCAAGTACTAAAGCAAGATACTTTTGACTCTATAACAAATTGTTAAGAGATTTTTGGTAAAACTACACTTGATATGCAATAAGAGGTGTAGATATAATACAACATGTTAGGACTCCTAAGACATTAAGAATTTTTAAAATATACACAACTGTTAAAATGTTCTAAGTCTAGCTAATTTGACATAGTGATTTCTCTTTGAAATATCAAGGATCAAAGTCTTTTTTGTAGTGTATTAGTTTTCATCTTCAAGTCTTTATGATCCTTTTATAGAGAGAGAACAAAAAGAGACGTTGGAAGACTTTCACCAAAAAATTGGATAAGCTCTGTACTTGATTGGACACATCAAGTAGCACATTTCTGCAAGAGGAATGATCTGTTCAAGATCAACTATGAAGAGATTTTTTTCTTAAATCTTCACGTGAGCAAAAGATCTCCGAGTCTGTCAGAGTTTCCTAAATTGAAGAGATTAGACAACCTTCATATTCTGGAACCCAGGTTTTGATCCTTCATAAATTGATTTTCTTCAGACTTCATTCTTCAGAGGTTGATCTCATCAAAGTCTGCTTCTTGACTTCTGATGCTTCAGAGTCTGGATCACCAGAGAGTGGCTTTCTTTAGATGTTAACTTCTTCAAAGTCTAAATCTTTCATTAGAGTCAGGGTTTTCAAAAGTGATCTTCAGAGTCAGAGTCTGAACTTCAGATTTAGAATCTTCAAGCTTCTCTTCATCTATTATTAGTTTTATGATCCTGCATTCTTGAACAAATGTTAGAATAACCAATTGTTTTTTAAATACTTTGTTATCATAAAAACTTAAGGAATATGATATCGACCAATTTTGTTCTAACAATCTCCTCCTATTGTCGTTAATTTCACTTGATCCACCGTTTGATATCATATATATGACCATCACTTCGACCATTGTTATGATCATTTCATTCATCTTTAATCACTAATTTAATATCATTGGTAACCACCTAACTATCAATGTGATCATCACTCTTACCATCGCAGACTACCACTAGTATCAACTATTATCATTACTTCGACAACTTCCAATCATTATTCCACTAACCTCAAGGACCGACATAATCATCACCAACTAGGACTTAGACCATCTATATATGAAGTTGAAGATTACTTTGACAATTATTGATCATCACTTTGTTAATCACCATCAATTATCATTGATCACTATCCCAACAATTGTCTCTTTAAATAACACTTATATATATATATATATATATATATATATATATATATATATATATATATATATATATATATATATATATATATATATATATATATATATATATATATATATATATATATATATATATATATATATATATATATATATATATATATATATATATATATATATATATATATATATATATGTAATTTTTTCCGATTATCTTTAAAGCGAGTTTTGAAAATATCTTAATTTCTGAAAATATCTTTAACAATTTTAAAACACAACTTTTTTTTTAAAAAATATCTTAATTTTTGAAAATTGTGAAAATTGATATTAACTTTTGTATATAGCTTTAATTACTTAATTACTTAAGTAAGAATTCTAATTACTTGGTGACATATAACCAATCTCTAGAATCATATAGAATCTAATAGAAAATCATGTGCATGTTTTGTAAAGCTAGCTAGATGTTTAACTACCAAGAAAAACCGCTTAAAATTACAACGGCGATAATAAGAACAAAACCACTCTTTAATTGTCATTTAGTGTACTAATTAGGATCAAGATCAAGAATACAGTTAAGATATTAATTATAAGAGTTTAGCCAAATTTAGGACAAAGACTAATTAGCCCCTAAAATACCAACAGCACTTAAAAAGAACCAAAAGGACAAGCTAGGAAATGTCTATCACATTGCTTATTCTTATAATAGAACAGACCAAATGTATACGCCAAATTTAGATAATCTAAAACATATACTTATCACACTGTTACTTTATTATATACACTAAAATATAATGTTATAAACGTACATTCAAGATTCTCTCTAAATTCAAGTTCAATAATTTCAATTATATATAAAAATTTATTCAATCGAATTATTCAATTTTATTCAGTTTAACCAATAAATCAACTAATAAATCATTCGACCAATAAACCAGGAATCTAATATCTTACGGTTTCAATAACAGGTTCAGTATATATCTTCTTCGCTTCACCCTAGAAATAGAAAATGAAAGAACATGTAGAATTTGCATCAAACTAATTAATACATACATATTGGAGTAGTAGATCAGAAAGAACAAAAACAAGATCACCAACAACTCATTTGAATTTTCTTATAAACCCATCTTTGGAGTCATTGAGAAGTGGGGCCCAAACAAGAAACTTTATTCAAGGACTCAGATAAAATGAGCTTATTTTTAATTTTTATGTTCTGTTCACAAGAATTAATATTAGAGAATTTTAAACATACAAAGAACCTGGCAGGTAATTTAATAAAACTAATATCAATCTTTTTTGTTTCTAGACAGTTGTGAGAGTCAAAGTTTTTGTAACAAAATGACAAATAAATTTATATATTTTGTGTTTTTTATTCTAAAGTTTCGGTGAAAAAGACATAAACACCACTGTGAAAATTATAAAGCAGATTCTCTTTATGTCTTAGCCCTTAGGCTATATAGAGTATAGACACTATATACAAATACAATACTATACATATAAATACAATACTATACGTATTTTAAATTACACTCTACAGCAACCCTAATTGTAACTATATATCAATAAATGTAATAATTTTATAATTATAACGGGGCGCATAATTAAATATTATAGTTGTAATATTATTAATACGGAAATTTTACAATATTTCGGATCACAATTATAATGTGATTTGAAATTCCGCATCTTTCCACTTTCTAAATTTAAAAAATATATCAAATAATTTTTCTTAAATATTTTTTTTAATGTGTATTCTAATTTCTTTAATTATTTTTGTTAAAATATAAAATTTAAAATTAAAATTTAATTTATTTTTAAAAAATATTAACATTGAACATTTTTAACATGTATTTCAAAACTTGGTATTAAATGGTTAATAAAAATCTATTATTTATGTTAAATAATGAGTTAGAATACGTTGCTTGTGACTTGTGCAGAACAAGTAAACTAATTTTAGAGCATTTCATATGTCATCTGCTCTACTATAACGCAAATTCCTTATTACTAACTTAAAGCTATACAAAATTTTGGTTTAACAACTGTGCTGTGCCGTTAAAGTTGCTCTTAGTTATAATATATATTGCGCAGTAACCGTAATTGCAATATCTACGATCACAACTGCAATATAAAAGTATGTATTTTTGCATTATTATAATGAAATATGTCACAAAGCTTGCTGTATTCCCCTATAAATTGTTCAAAAGGTGTTTCTTAAAGAATTAACATTACCATTCACAACACATACACGTGCAAACTCTCACAAAAATGGAGTTTTATGATGGAGATTTCATGGAGGAATTAATGGCTCTAAGAACAGAAACTCCAACTCAAGAAGAAAATCATTTCTTCTCATCATCAACGAATCACAACAACCTGAGCTTCGATAACTGCTTCGATCAAAACTCATCTTGTAGTCAACAAGTGTTCCCTCAAAGTTACGTCAACAATGATTACTACAGTAACACTTTCAATGAAATCTATGGTTCATTACTTGATGAAACTTCAACGCCTCAGATTCTTGATTCATATTATAATAACAACACACTCGACGCGCCGTTTGCTTCTCAAGAAGATTTTCCGCTGTCCATGATAGGAGAAGAAGAAGATCAAACTATGCTCCGCGAAGAGATTAAGAATTTGGAGCTGCAAACAACGTGTAAAATGGAGGAAACACAGTCACCTGAAATGCCGGTAGTTTTCAACTCTGCAAACAGTTTCGAGAGAAAGAATCGCTCGAAGAAGCTTCAAGGACAACCCTCGAAGAATTTAATGGCGGAAAGGAGACGACGAAAGAGATTAAACGATCGACTATCGATGCTACGAGCAATTGTTCCTAAGATAAGCAAGGTAGTTTAGAATACATAATTTTAGTATATTAATCGTTACGCAGATCTAATCTATTTTGTCGAATGTCAATGTGTATATATACGTAGATGGATCGAACGGCTATACTCGGAGATACTATTGATTATATGAAAGAGCTTCTAGAGAAAATCAACAATCTACAACAAGAAATTGAACTAGACTCAAATATGTCAAGCATTATCAAAGACGTAAAGCCTAATGAAATCTTAATAAGAAACTCTCCAAAGGTACAAAAATTTTCTAATCCTTTTGAAGTTCGTAATCAGTCATTTATCAGTCAGCTCGATAATAAGAGTTTTTGTAAAATAACTTTTGGTACGAGTTCAAATCTTCAGCCTAACGTTATATATTTTTTTTTGTGTATTTTTTAAATTTCGCCGTCGCAGTTTGAGGTGGAGAGAGGCCTAGACACAAAGGTTGAAATTTGTTGTGCAGGGAAGCCAGGGTTATTGCTATCCACAGTGAACACATTGGAAGCATTAGGTCTTGAGATTCAACAATGTGTTATAAGTTGTTTCAATGAGTTCACAATGCAAGCTTCTTGCTCAGAGGTAGTATACATTAGTTGATACTATTATTTTTGGTTTCTAATTTTTAATCAATTGTAAGTTCTTATTTGTTATGTAAAACAGGAATTTGAGAGAAGGACAATGCTAAGTTGTGAAGATATTAAGCAAGCTTTATTTAGAAGTGCAGGGTATGGAGGAAGATGTTTGTGAGGTCTCGAATTCAAATTTCAAGAGATAGAAGTTTTATGCGGTTACACGCAAGGAATGGATTTCAATCATTAATTTTAGATTAGACAATTCAAATTGCATAATCCGTATTTTAGTTTAAACAACTTTGATCGTTGATTCAGATCGAACGACTGAGATCTGCATCTGCATCGCACGGTTGCATTATAGAATTCTTAGGCTAGTTTTTTTTTCAATAGTATCATCGATTCAAATGAAATATCCATTTATGTTGATTGGTTTTGTACTCTTAAATATCTAAATATCTAAACTACTTGAATTGAATAAGATAGTATGAAATCTCTTTCAATTTAATTTTAAATATTGGATTCGAACTTAGTTCTCATGTAAGTAATGATGTTAAACTCTTTTTAAAAAGAGTTTTAGCGACTATTAAGTCTTCGCTAATTCGAGAGATCAGTTTGTAGTTACACGCAGAAAACAAATCTAAATATCTAGGGTGTGATGGAGTTGTCCTAATGAATCTTGTACACAAATACCAATCATAAAATCTCCATGTCATGTGAGTGTGAACATGAATATAGTTTATGGATGAGGAGGGCCTAGGTGTTGGCATTGGATGGTCCCTTAGGTTATGCATGTGGAGGCTCAAGCAAAATTGTGAGACATGATAAGAAAGTAAAGTTAGGGTTTTTGTTTCTATTCTTTTTTTCTTCTTCCATCACTTTTAGATGTCACTTTTCACTTTCTCTATTTGTATAGCTTCTATGTATGTAACACTTTTCTCTAGAATGTAAGAATGTAATATTTAATATTTTACTCAATTTTCACTTTGAAAGGGTTGATAAATTATAAGAGAATTTATTGGGGGGACCAGGAAAAAAACAGAGGACAGGGAATATTCCTAAAAGCATAACAAATATTAAATGAATAAAAAGATGCAAACATTGGCTAGAAAGTGTTTTTAATTCATTTCTTACAAACGCACATGAAAGAGTATAAAATAAGAAGTGTATTTGGTTGGAATTTTAAAAGATTTTCTTAATCGAAATATTGTGATGTTTAATCAAGATTTTATATAAAATTCAAATAATTTTGTGCTATTCAATTACATTTTTTAGAGTAAAATAATTTGTCCATATTCAATTGAATTTTCTCACAAATTTTAATGAGTTCTTTAAAAAAATAGATTTTAAGATAGTTTTTAATTAAAAATACACATATCAAGAAATTTAAAGGTTTTGATTTGGGTTTTACATTGCGAATTCCAATGCTTGATTGCAAAAATGTAAGAGAATAAGAGGTGATGAAAGTATTTTGAGTGATTCTTGCAAAGAGATATCTTCACTCTAAATAGCTAGGGCATAAGGAAGGTTAGTATGTGACCTCTCTTTGAAAGAATAAGCCTCCATAAGAGACAATATACTATTACCAGAGGTTTGGAAAATTATTTGATCATGTACTCTCCATCAGACAGACAAAAGCTTCTCAATTTGTCTTCTAAAAAAGGAAAGAAACCATACCATGTAAAAGGAAAGGACTTGTGCATAATAAAGTATGATACTTGTTAGAAAGTATCTTGGGGGTAGTGTTTTATTGTCTCCACGGGGATTGAAGAGAATATAAATGCTTGTCGTTCAACAAATTAATGTCTTAAGAAAAGGGGTTTTAAAATGGTTTCAATTTTCGTAACTAAAGTTTTCAAGAAAGAAAGCGGAATAAAGTTCGGTCTAAGTTTGATAAAAACATGTCAAGATTAGGGTTCGCTAGTCCGTCCTAAACGTATCCAACCGATCAAATATGTGAAGGAAGTTTTAACCAACATAACCGCGTATCCTCGCAAAAACGTATATTTCTAAAGCGATTTCGTGAATGTTATTATTTTGACCGTTAAATGATCTCTCTAAGTAACAATCAAAACAATAAGCATTAAGATCAATACAAAACGGATATCAACTTTCAAACCTACGTCTATAATTTTTATAGTTGATAGATGAAGATATTAGGTCAAGACTTGGAAAGTTCATGTCTAAAGCAATCCAAACCATAAATATACAAAGAGTAGCAAATAACTTCATCTATATTGATCACAATATTTGTTCACATACAAAAGATCAAATGGAATACATAAAATTTGAACTAACTACTTCTAACCTTGACAAGAGAGGGATTTAGCCAACCATTTTCATGATAGCTTGAGCAACAAGTTTCGGAAGAAGGTTGATCAACATGCGAGTCGAATAATCGAGATTGGATGGGAATCCACCTTTTTTTTGTGAAATATTACTAAGAGATGATGAGAAATGGAGGAATGAGTTTTCTAGGTCAAAAAATCCTCTCAAATGCAAGTACAAAAAATTAGATATTTTTATAAAAAGTATCTCATACTACTTATAGAAGTGACTGCTGAGTTGTCACGTTCACAGTGCGAACGAATTGTTCGCCTAGCGAACACCCAAAATGGTACCTGAAGTGCCTAGGTCCTGTGAAAGCTCCCCAGACAGAAATCCCAATGTTCGTTGTGCGAAGAATTGTTCGCCTAGCGAAGCCTTCGCTGCAAACTTCGCACAACGAGTTTATGGCCATTTTGTTACTGTCTCAAGTATGGGAGTGTTCGTTACCTCTTCGCTACCACTTCGCCTAGCGAGCTTTTCGCTGCCTCCTTCGCCTAGCGAGTTTATGGAACTTTCCTTACTGTTTTGGATTCCTGGCCTTCGCTAATAGTTCTCCTAGCGAACTTTATGATGTTTTGGTGGCAGCTTCGCTAACAAGTTTGCCTAGCGAACTTGCTGTTGTTTGCATGCTATCTTGGTTTCTTTGTCATCTTTCTTGTGTCTTAATTTTCACTCTTTCATGCCTAATTCTTGCACAATAACACACAAATCAAAGGTACCAAGATATTTTCACATAATGTTGCAAAACAACCAAAGCAAGAGTTATTTTTAACACTTTCTTGACAAAAAGGAGTAAAAGATGCCCACATTTGATAGATCAAATAAGAAAAGTATGCCTTCAAGCAAAGTATGCCTCCTGATGAAACAAGAGGATCTGCTCAAGAAAAAGATTTCTCCGAAATTGGATTAAATGGCTCAAACACAAGGAATGCAACCAGACACAGTTCCCAATGGTAAGAATAAAACAACACCCAAGAACTAAAGTCATAAAGCAACGCAAAACATATATCAATCAACAACAATGTCATCTTGAATGAATCACCCTATCTCTCCTCTTCGAATAAGGATTGAAGAAAGTACACGTTTGAAACCGCGGGGACAATTTCACTCAACTAACAAACAATGCCAAAATTAATCCAATTCTTACAATATGTAACAATTATACATAAAAATATGGAAGCAAGAAGATCACTAAGGTCTTTTCCGGTTGTAGCTTGGTCGGGTTTATAAACAAGGGACATATCTTAGGCCATTGAAATGAAATTGTCGATGCAAAAGAGGCATTCACTGTACAAGTTATTTACACATCACAACTTCCTTCCACTTGTTTCTCATTTGAAAACCTTCTCAACTCTTAGTTCACAACTTATTCTTTTTTTTTCTTTTCCAAGCAAGCATTCTCTTTTTTTTTTTTTACAATCATATTCACATAACAACAAAAAAAAATTTCTCAATGCTTGCTTGATTTTTCAAGAGTTGTAGCAACCTACCATACTTCTTTTTCGTTCTCCCCAACTTAGCTTTTACTCAACCCTCAAGTGAATGCTCTTGACTTTTTAAGGCAAAGAGAACAATTAACACAAAATTCAAGGGTTCAAGAAAAAAGTTTTTGGAATCTCGCACAATTTCAGGCCGAGATTCACACTGTTTAGGCTCAAGGGGTTCACGAATACTCTCTGCTCACGGGTAAGTTGCATTTGGAATTGGTTGTGCTCGATAAAAACAAGTGCCTTTATCATTTCTAATTGCTTCCACAAATTTACAATAATAAAAGATAAAGCATGAATCAAATGAATCAACAAAGTTTATTAGAATCCAGCATTTAGTGTACAATGAAGGTTTTCCTCACAATTTGCGGTTCTAAGTCCTAGTGAAACATTCATTCAACAATGTTGCTAAAAGAACAATATTCATTTACAACAAGATTAAAGTCCTTAAGCATTTTAAAATTCTAACAAAAGGTAACCATGTACCTTGACAATATTCACTTGTTTAATTATTATCATCGTCATCCAAACTCGGATGCACCTTCATTGGATACTTCTTTCCAGAGAGCAACCAATCTAGAAGTTTTAGAAAGCTCAACAGCCAGAAACTATTAACAACCACTTGAAAAGAAACAAAATATTTTTAACATAAAAACTTAAGATTACTTAAACATTAATAAAATGTGCATGGGGGAAAAAACACCCCAAAATAGTACAAGAGCCAAAAATCTGAAATAACAATACAATAAAAACAACAAAAGCAATGATTCAAGCACAAAAGTACTTCACTTTGACGACCAAAGGAAGTTGCTCGAATTCACGCTCACAAGATCAAAATATCAAAAAAAAATTAGTCCTCCTCGGACTCAGTCTCTTCCACGCTCTCAGAACCAGCATCATCATGATCATCATTATCATCATCATCATCCACCTCAGCGACACCATCATCAAGATCAGAGGCACCCGCCCCTTCTCCAAAAACAGGCCTGACCTCCGGCCAGCTCGCATGCTGTAAGAACTGCTCATGCGTCGTTATAGTGCGCTCCACGAAGGGGTCACGACATTGCAGCTGAAGTACCTATATAAAATCATGTAAATCCACCATGGTGCGTTGAGTCGCCTCCATCCAATCCTAGTTGTAATTACAAACAGCCTGCTAGAATGGATCAAAACCCTGTGAAAAAGTAACACCAGGGCCATCAGTAGCCCCAGTATCTGCAGCAGCTGAACTTGCTTTTAATCCCTTGGATCGGCAATACTTGTCCACATACCTGTCGTCAATCGTGGCCGAAATAGTCACCTGTCTACGGGAAGGTAATATCACCTTCGCCTGAACACACAAGGCCATAATGAGACAGGGGAA